GGTACATCACTATGAAGACTTACGTGAAGGAGATCGTACCAACCCATGAATTCGGGCGCACAGCTGTTCTTCTTTGTTTTATGTGCCATTTCAATTCATTTTAAATCAGAAAACGATCCATTCATGCAAAAAAAAAACACTTAGTCTTTTCCAAAAAACCATAAAATTGCATCACACATCGTAGTGGGTCCAGGCCCCAGGGTCACATCCAAGTTCTTTACCAAAAAAATAATAATAATAATAATGAAGTAAAAATCTGTTGGACGGTATATATACGAAATAGTTTGTCACAGCCCGTCGTTTGTTGTCCTCTTCTCCCTCTCTGCCCACGGTTTACGGGGCAGCTCTGTCTGACGATATATATCGCCAAACAGAGCTGCCCGGTAAACCGTAGGCAGAGAGGGAGAAGAGGACAAGAAACAAGGGGCTGTGACAAACTGTTTCGTCCGAGTTTCACCGACTCATCAGGAGGCTGAATATATATATTTTTTGGCCCAGCCGTGCAAGTGGTCCCGGCCGGCTCTGGTAGCCTAGATTGAGTTGCCAAAGCCTTAAAGCACAAGTAGACAGCCCCAGCCTTGCAGAAACATGAACTTGTCTCCACAAGGAAAATTCGGGGCTCGGGGACGGCCAGGTATAGCTACAGGGTAGGAAGCACATGGGCCCAACAAAGGACGAGAACGGACTGGAAGATGTCCTTCTGGTTTAGGCCGTGCAGTTTCCACATGCCATTGGATGGATGAGAGGTGAAAGGAAGAAAAAAAGAAAGAAGAAAAAAAGAAACGAAGCAAACTGGCAAATGCGGAAAAGGCACCCGTTGAAACAGGCGCCTTGCTCGTTTCTGGAGACAGAAGGGGCCTGTTTCAACGGGCGCCAGCTCACGGGTGCAGTAAATGAAACAAGATGTGGGGAGAACAAACAAAGCAAAAAAAAAAAAAAAAAAAAACTGTTGCAGTGGGCGTCGCTCCACTACTCTCTGCATGCACAAAAGACAAAAATCATGGCGGTGTATCTTTCCATGTTCTACAGGAAGATTCACCCTCCAGTGACACAACTGCTACACAATTTGGAGAATGAGGGCCTCGTTCCACTGCTCACCAAATGTGCAAAATATATCATGAATCTTTCGCTAGAACATGGAAACATACATCACCATGTGTTTTGTCTTTTGTGCATCTGGTGAGTAGTGGAGCCTGACTGACTGCAGGTCCACCAAAGTGCCTCGCTGCACTACTCTCCAAATGTGCAAAATGAGACTGAATCCGCCGGTAGAACATGGAAAGATACATTGCCATCTTTTTTGTAGTAGAAGAGGTCTATCGCGAGTATGCTTCTTTTTTTTCTTTTTTTCTTTTTTTCTTTTTTTGTGAGTATGCGTTTTTTTTTTTTTTGCTGTTTTATAACAGTAGAGGCTCTTTCTAAGAGCCCGCCTCCTTGCCGTGAGAGGTGGTGATAACATGAGTATGCCATTTCCTGCCATTCACTCCTCAGGCTTGCACTTCGTGAATGTATCTGCCTGCAATTACGGCAACGCGGGGGGGGTGCTGTAGAATGAATACGAGAAAAGACGGCCTCCTCTTTGTTCCTTCTGCTGATAGTATGTCCAGCACAGAGGGCGGTACCACCCTGAATTTTCCCAGTGGTGGTATCTGTCACTTGCAGGCTTGGCAAAATTCAAATTTAGGCTCGTACATTTAGCCCCGGGTGTGCTGGTGGTTTAAGGTGTTGGGCCTGCCCCTGTGGATTGCATATCGTTTGCTGCAGACTAAACGGGATCGGAAAAAAAAACTCATAACCTAGGAAGCATTCTAGCATTTTATGTCTATGCGATGTTGCATGCTCCCATGGATGCAAGTGACAGTGGCAGTTTCAAACCATAATTATTTTTGTCGCTACTGGGGGGGGGKGGGGGGAGGGGTTGAATGGGTTGCTTGATTTGCAATTTTGCAGTTATTATGGATTGGGATCGGCAGAGAAACTGCTTGGGAAGGCTTTGCAAGGAATCCCAAGGGAAAAGTTCATCCTTTCGACCAAGGTTGGAAGGTATGGCCTGGACGAGTTTGATTTTAGCGCGGAACGCGTGACGCGAAGTGTGGATGAGAGTCTCCAACGTCTTGGCCTTGACTACCTCGACATTGTGCTTTGCCACGACATCGAGTTCGGCTCAATCCATCAGGTCAGTGTAGTATACAATGTCCAAACAAACGGTGAATCTGTTTTCCTTTCCCTATTTCATGTTCTATTCAACCCTCTCTCTCTCTCTCTCTCTCTCTCTCTCTCTCTCTCTCTCTCTCTCTCTCTCTCTCTCTCTCTCTCTCTGTCTGTCTGTGCAGTGTCCAAACGAACAGTGAATCTGTTTGTTGTTTCCCTGTTTACTTTTCTGCTTGAACTACCAGTACTTTTGACCCTTCTGTAATGAACCCAGTCTGGCAGATACTCAGAAGTTGTCAAACATCAGTAGTCTCATTAACTGCATTGAAGTCTCCAATCGTGAAGTGAACTCTTAAACAGTATCTCATTACCATCGAAAGAAGAGAATGGAGTGGGAATAGACAAAGGAAAGGAAGAGAGATTACACAGTAATGAACCCTTCAGATCCCTCTCCTTCTCCGGCCTTCTTCCCTCCACATCATCAATGATAGTAAGTATATTCCTGATGCCACGTGACACTTAATCACGTGAAGTCCGTGAAGACATAGCAGATTCCAATGACGACGTCAACTTCAGTTGAGTACCTGACCTCCATCCACAGATCCCGATCTTCCTCCTCCACGCAACCAGTCACCTCATGTAGACAGCGTGGACAGTGCCACGTCAGCAGTCGAGATAGGTGGCATATGCCACATCATCAATGAAGACCAGTGGCAGCGCCAC